CTGGCAGGGGAGGGCAGTTGGGGGCGAGATCAGGCCAGCAGGGGAGAGCAGTTGGGGGTGAGATCAGGCCGGCAGGGGAGGACAGTTGGGGGCAAGATCAAGCTGGCAGGGGAGAGCAATTGGGGGCGAGATCAGGCTGGCCCGGGAGGGCAGTTAGGGGTGATCAGGCAGGCAGGCAGAGAGGTTAGAGGCGATCAGGCAGGCAGGCAGAGGGGTTAGGGGCAATCAGGCAGGCAGAGGAGGTTAGGGGCGATCAGGCAGGCAGACAGGTAAGCAGTGAGGAGCCAGTGGTCCCAGATTGCAAGAGGGATGTCCGACTGCCGGTTTAGGCCCAACCCTGTGGGATCGGGCCTAAACCGGCAGTCGGACATCCCTCAATTGGTCCCTGATTGGAGAGGGTGCAGACTGGGCTGATGGACCCCTCTCCCCTCATGCATGAATTTCATGCACCGGGCCACTAGTATAATTATAAGTTAAGTGTATCTTTAGAAATACATTTCTAGTAGAATGCTAGGTCAAAGGAGATGTACATGTAAATTCTGATTGATAGTACCAATTACCTTCTAAAATGTTTTTACCTTTTTACATGTTAAGCAGATTTTTAGAGTTGAGACTGCTAAAGAAACAAACAATGGTGAAGACACAGCTACCTTCTCTATACTAAAACATTTATTTTAAACAAAATTTCCACTAGATGGAGATGTTTAGCTATCAGAAAATTTAAATAATTTCTGTCTTATAGAATGTTGTTATAATAAAACTAGAGGCCCAATGCACAAATTTTGTGCAAGAGTAAGCCTTCCTTCCCCTGGCTGCTGACACCGGCTTCCCTCTGGCCAAGGGAAAATTATATTAAATTAGAATTTTAATTAAAATTCTGTATCACAAGGTTCCAAACAAAATGTACCTGATGACATTTGTGAATGAAAGAAAACACTGAAATCCAATATAGGATGCCTCATGAGCAATATGTAAATCTTGAAAAGTTAATAGGACCCTTTTCTTGAATGTATATACCCACAATTCTTTGTATTTATTTTATTTTTTAATCTTCACAGAAGGATATTTTTTCATTGATTTTTAGAGATAGTAGGAAGGAGGGGGAGAAACATTGATGTAAGAGAAACACATCAGTTGGTTGCCTCCTGCACACACCCTGACCAGGACCGGGTATGGAGCCCTCAACCGAGGTACGTGCCCTTGACCTAACCCGGGACTCTTCAGTTCGTAGGCTGACGCTCTATCCACTGAGCCAAACCAGCTAGTGTTCTTTTTTTTTTTTTTTTTTTTTTAAACCCTCACTGGAAGATATGTTTATTGATTTGAGAGAGAGGGAAGGAGAGAAAGAGAGAGAAACATCAATGTGAGAGAAACATTGACTGGTTGTCTCTTGTACGTGCTCTGATCAGGGATTGAACCCGAAACCCAGGAATGTTCCCCAACCAGGAATCGATGCTCCAACCAACAGAGCAACCGGCCAGGGCACACCCACAATTCTCAGGTTTTAGGGAAGAATGAGAAGTTGGGGCTGAAGTTAAGTGGACCTTGGTAGAAGTGAATGTGCTGCTGAGACTCAGACACTGTGTTTGAAGTCAGCTTATCAGCTACCTTTCCTTGTTTACCAGTTGGGGAGGATTGACGTGGTTAACAGTAGACAGACCAGAGAGAGGTGGGAAAAGAGTATCTTGAAGTCAGCTTTTTAGTGGCTGAACAGAATCCAGACCTGCCCTCCCGCCAAAAAAACAAGAACAAAAACAAAAACAAACAGAGGGGCCAGTAAATCCTACGCTTTCTGCTGATAGGATTATCGTCCTGTCCTGATGTGTGAAAGCCCAAATCTACACACCCACACACACTCCAACAACAGACATGCGCATCTCTGGGATTTCTTTTTTCTTTTTTGTAACAGATCCATTGAGATATAATTCACGTGCCATATAATTCATCCATTTAAAGAATACATTCAGTAGTTTTTAGTATGTTCACAGAGTTGTACAACCATCAGTACATCAACATGTGAATTGTCTTTTACCTTCGAGTTTTTAGTTAATGTGCTTTGCCTTTTTCTTTTCGGTTTTCCTATCTGTTGTGTTTATGGTAAAGTTTTTCTTCCGATTGTTGCTTTTTCTTTATAAAAATTATTTTTATATAGGTATTTTGAGTGTTTTATCTAATTTGCTTACTTTTTTCTATTAGCATTTTGTGGATAGTTCTTCCTTGCTGAGTAACCAGTTAAATAAATATTTCCTTCTAGTATTTTATTGTTCACATTTAAGTAAGTAATTTATTTGCAGTTCATTTTGTTTGTTTTTTTGTATGTAGCACCAGGTCTGAGTTTTATTTTTTCTACAAGTAGGCAATATTTCTAGAAACTTCTGTAGATTACCTTTTCCTATTAGGTGGCAGCATTTCATTTTTCATAAATTTTAAAATTATTTTTGTCTTTTTATTTTATTTAAAAGTTGACTGTGTTCTGATACATTAATTTTTCTTAAATTTTAGAACAAGGAAAATTTATCTTCCATTATTACTGACCTCAACATAATAATGGAGTCCACCGCATATTCAGAATTAAGTGAATTTGTATCTAGGTAAGATAATTTACAAATTTATTTTTTTAGAGATTGTTTTCACGCTATAGTTTTGAGTTTACCTTTTCTCCCTTCTTGATTGATAAATATCAAAATATATCTGAAAGTATGACACCATTTTTATGGGTTATATTTAAGCCTATATTCTTTATATCTATTATTCTTTCATTCAATAAAAATTTATTATGCATTTACTCTATGCTAGACATTAAAATTAAATTCTGAGCAAAACTAGATATAAGCCTTAATCCTCATGGAATTTGTAGCCTAGGGAAAGGGCAGTTGGGGGCGACCAGGCCAGAAGGGGAGGGCAGTTGGGGGGGACCAGGCCTGAAGGGGAGGGAAGTTGGGGGCCATTGGGCTGGCAGGAGAGCAGTTAGGTTTCGATCAGACTGGCAGAGGAGTGGTTAGGGGGTGATCAGGGTGGCAAGCAGAAGTGGTTAGGGGTAATTAGGCAGGCAGGCGAGCGGTTGGAAGCTAGCAGTCCCGGATTGCTAGAGGGAGGTCCGACTGTCGGTTTAGGCCTGATCCCTGTGGCCCCCACTGGGGGGTTTGACCAGTCACCACAGAGGAGACCCCCAAACTTGAAGGGGGTGTGGCCAGCATGGCTGGCCCTCAGCCCCTCACCCAGGCTGGCCACACCCCCATGGGGTGAGGGTCCCCACTGGGGGGCTTGGCCAGCCTGCAAACAGCCATCAGCCCCTCACCCAGTCTGGCCAGGCACCATAGCAGGGACCCTAACCTTGAAGAGGGTGTGGCCAGCCTGAAAACGGCCCTCAGCCCCTCACCCTGTTGGATCGGGCCTAAACCGGCAGTCGGACATCCCCCGAGGGGTCCCAGATTTTAGAGGATGCAGGCTGGGCTGAGGGACACCCCCCCTACAGTGCACGAATTTCGTGCACCGGGCTTCTAGTAGTAAATAATGCTGCAGTGAACATAAGGGTGCATATATCTTTGTGAATAATTTTTTTCAAATTCTTCAGGTAGATACCCAGAAGAGGGTTCCTGGGTCATATGGTAACTCTGCTCTTAATTATCTGAGGAACCTCCATACTGTTTCCATAGTGGCTTGTACCAGTTTACATTCCCACCAGCAGTGAATGAGGGTTCCCTTTTCTTCACATCCTCTCCAACACTTGATATTGCTTGCCTTTCTGACAGGAGAGAGGTCGCTTCTCTTTGTAGTTTTAATTTGCATTTCCCTAATAACTAGTGAAGTTGTACATCTTCATATATCTGTTGGCCATTTGTATGTTTTCTTGGGAGAACTATCTTTTAGTCCCTCTACCTATTTTTTTTTTTTTACTAGGATGTGTGTGTGTGTGTGTGTGTGTGTGTGTTCAGTTGTATGAGACCTTTACTTGTTTTGGATGTTAAATATATAACATCTGTTTATTGGAGTTGTTGTTTGCAAATATTTTCTCCAATTTGATTAGTTGCCTTAGTGTTTTGTTGACAGTTTCTTTTGCTGTGCCCAACTTTTTAGTTTGATATAGTCCCATTCATTTATTTTTGTTTTTGCCTCCCTTGACTATAAGGTCAAATTTATAAAATCCTCACAGTCAAGGGAGATAAAAGCAAAAATACTTAGGACCAAGTTCCATGATTTTAGTATCAGTGTTTTGTTTTTGTTTTTTAATATATTTTATTGATTTTTTACAGAGAGGAAGGGAGAGGGATAGAGTTAGAAACATCGATGAGAGAGAAACATCGATCAGCTGCCTCCTGCACACCCACTCCTGGGAATGTGCCCGCAACCAAGGTACATGCCCCCGTCCGGAATCGAACCTGGGACCCTTCAGTACGCAGGCCGACGCTCTATCCACTGAGCCAAACCAGTTAGGGCCAATGTTTTTTTTTTTTAATGTAGTCTGGTTTCATTCCTTTTTATGTGGCTTTCCAATTTTTCAAGCACCATTTATTAAAGAGGCTTTCTGTTTTCCATGGTATGTTTTTGGTTCCTATGTAAAAAAATTATTTTCCCAGGCTTAGCTGGTGTGGTTTAGTGATTGAGCATAGACCTATGCACCAAGAGGTCTCCAGTTTGATTCCTGGTCAGGGCACATGTCTGGGTTGCAGGCTGGATTCTCAGCAGGGGACATGCAGGATGCCTCCTAATTGATGTTGATGTTTCTCTTTCATCAGTGTTTTTTTTTTTTCTTAATATAATTTATTGATTTTTTACAGAGAGGAAGGGAGAGGGATAGAGAGTCAGAAACATCGATGAGAGAGAAACATCGATCAGCCGCCTCCCTCACACCTCCCCCTGGGGATGTGCCTGCAACCAAGGTACATGCCCTTGACCAGAATTGAACCTGGGACCTTTCAGTCCGCAGGCCAATGCTCTATCCACTGAGCCAAACCAGTCAGGGCTCATCATTGTTTCTATCTCTCTCTCTCTCTCCCTACCTCTCTCTCTAAAAATCAATAAAAACATATTTAAAAATTATTTTCCCATATACAAGTGGGTTTGTTTCTGGCTTCTCAGTTCTGTTCCATTGGTCTTTGTATCTGTTTTTCTCCCAATACCATTCTTTTTTATGATTGTTGCTTTGAATTATAGCATGAAGACAGAGTGTGTGACACCTCCAGCTTCATTCTTTTTTCTTGGGATTACTTTGGCAATTTGGGATCTTTTGTGTTTCTATCAAAATCTGATGATTTTTCTTCTATTTCTTTTAAAAAACAACATTGGGATTTTGATGGTGATTGCATTAAGTCTGTATATTACTTTGGGTAATAAGGCTATTTAAACAGTGTTGGTTATCCCAATTTGTAAACATGGAATATCTTCCCATTTCTTTGTGTCTTTTTAAATCTCTTTTGATAATACCTTGTAGTTGTCAGTATATAGGTCCTTTACATTCTTTAAGTTTGTTCCTAGGTATTTTATAGTTTTTGTTGTAATTACAAATCTAATTATTTTTTTCATCCCCCCCTCACCCCCATGAAATTTAATTGTTAGTAAATGGAAATGTAATGGATTTTTGTACATTGATTTTTTTTATCCTGCTACTTTATTGTATTTCTTTATTGTTTCTAATAGTTTTTTTTGTGGAGTCTTTAGGGTTTTATATATACAGAATCATACCATTTGCAAAAAGTGACACTTTTACTTCTTCTTTCCCAGTTTGGATGCCTTTTATTTCTCTTGCCCGATTGCTCTGACTAGGACTTCCAGAACTATCTACACTAATAAAAGAGAACGATGCAAATTAACCATCACTCCATTACCCCGCCACTCCGCTACACCCACAAGCCACGCCCACGAGCCAATCAGGAGCGAGTATGCAAATTAACCCAACTAAGATGACAGTGGCCACGGAGCTGGAGCGAGCAGGAGGCCGTGGCTTCCACTCAAGGAGGGGCTGGGAACCTGGGTTGCCAGACTCAGGCTTTCAGCCAGACCTGGGCTCATAGTTGTTTCAATTATAGAAGATAAATAAATCCCAGATACCTGCTTCCAGCCAGCCGTGGCTTCCACTCAAGGAGGGGCTGGGAACCTGGGTTGCCAGACTCAGGCTTTCAGCCAGACCTGGGCTCATAGTTGTTTCAATTATAGAAGATAAATAAATCCCAGGGAAAAAAAAGAAAAAGAAAAAAAGGAGAGGCTGAGAGCTTGGGTCGCCGGGGGGGCATGGCCAGCCTGAAAATGGCCATCAGCCCCTCACCTAGGCTGGCCAGGCACCCCAGCGGGACCCCTCACCCTAAAGGGGCGGTGGGCAGCCTGAAAACGGCTCTCAGCCCCTCACCCAGGCTGGCCAGGCACCCCAGCGGGACCCCTCACCCTAAAGGGGCGGTGGGCAGCCTGAAAACGGCTCTCAGCCCCTCACCCAGGCTGGCCAGGCACCCCAGCGGGACCCCTCACCCTAAAGGGGCGGTGGGCAGCCTGAAAACGGCTCTCAGCCCCTCACCCAGGCTGGCCAGGCACCCCAGCGGGACCCCTCACCCTAAAGGGGCGGTGGGCAGCCTGAAAACGGCTCTCAGCCCCTCACCCAGGCTGGCCAGGCACCCCAGCGGGACCCCTCACCCTAAAGGGGCGGTGGGCAGCCTGAAAACGGCTCTCAGCCCCTCACCCAGGCTGGCCAGGCACCCCAGCGGGACCCCTCACCCTAAAGGGGCGGTGGGCAGCCTGAAAACGGCTCTCAGCCCCTCACCCAGGCTGGCCAGGCACCCCAGCGGGACCCCTCACCCTAAAGGGGCGGTGGGCAGCCTGAAAACGGCTCTCAGCCCCTCACCCAGGCTGGCCAGGCACCCCAGCGGGACCCCTACCCTGATCCGGGACACCCTTCAGGGCAAACCAGCTGGCCCCCACCCGTGCACCAGGCCTCTATCCTATATAATAAAAGGGTAATATGCTAATTAGACCAGATAGACCGGATGTCTCCTGGACATCATTTTCTTCCTGAGAAAGCCAGGCCCCTGGCCGCCCTGTCCCAGGTGCCTATGGCTGGGGCCCCAGGTGGTGCCACCTGGGGTCCCGGGTGCCTGAGGCTGGCCCAGGTAAAGCCGGCCTGGGTCCCGGTTGCCTGCGTCTGGCCAGAGGAGGGAAGCCTGGGTCCTGGGTGCAGGGGCTGAGGCATAGGTGGTTAGGTGTGATCAGGCAGGCAGGCAGAGGCTGTTAGGGGTGATCAGGCAGGCAGGCGAGTGGTTAGGGGCAATCAGGCAGGCAGGCATGCATGAATTTCATGCACCTGAGCCCCGCATTGTGAGAGGGATCGGGCTTAAACCGGCAGTCGGACATCCCCTGTTGGGTCCCGGATTGCGAGAGGGTGCAGGTCTGGCTGAGGGATCCCCCCCCCCATGCATGAATTTCATGCACCTGATCTCTATTTTTAAGTAAGAATAGTCAAAATGGGCACCCTTTTCTTGTTCCTGATCTTAGAGCAGGATGGGGAACCTTTTTTCTTCCAGGGGCCATTTGGATGTTTCTAACATCATTCGTGGCCATACAAAAATATCAACTTAAAAATTAGCTCGCTATATTTGGTCAAACATTT